AAAATATCGAAACCTAAAGCCTCGAAAGTTCTCGCCGGAGAAGAAAAGTATGCAGGGTTTGGCGGCGACCACCACCACCAACCGTGGCTCTCTTACCTTTTTCGCTCCCAGGTTCCTCCGATATTTCAATTGGATCTCGCTACTATGTTCTTCCTTCTCCGATTTCTGAGTTTCTCGTTCCGTTCATGATTTGTGTGTTGGATCGATTGATTTCTTTCTTTCTAAGGAGCTATGATCTTGATCTTCGTTCTGGAATTGGATCTGTTCGAAGCTTTGAATCCTCAAATTTTCAATGAATTTCGAATCAATTTTGGATTGAGATTTGGCTGAATTTCTACTATGTAAATTGGATTTTTTTAGCCCTAATTGATTCCATCGTTTTGTTTATAAACCAGGAACCATAGTCCAATTCTAAAGAAGTATGTGAATCAAACGGTATGCTTCCCCAAGTTTGATTCATTCTCAAAATTAAGATTGTCAACAAGCTCTATCTCACAGAAATGTCCACTAGCCATTGTTCCTCTTTCAGGTATTATGTAGATTTAACCTGATTCATATTAGACTAACTTGTGTTATTGGAAATTTTTATCAGTCTATTCGACAAAAAAAGACCCTTTAAATCGTTTATAGAATCATGTTATGGATACTGAACCTTGTCTTGTTCCCAAATGTTGAAAATCTGTAGCAACTGCACCTGTGGACTTTACAGCAGAGTCACCATTTGCTCATGGTTTACCACCATTGGCTTCTGGTTTGAGAGGAAAACGGAGACCGCTAGAGCCTGCGAAAGCATTCAAAGACGACTTCTTCAAAATCAAACTACCTAAAATCGCAGAGCGGCCTGAATGGTGGTGGAGGACATTAGCTTGTATCCCTTACCTGATATCCCTTCAAATATCTGATGTCGGGTTCTACGTCCAACCGTTTCTAGAAAAGCACGACGCGATTGGAGACATGATTTATTTCATCCCGGGAGCGATAAACAGATGGCCGCACTGGTTCTTCATGGTGTACTGTTACTTGGGTTACATGTGGGTAGTGAAGAACAAAGACTTGCCTCATTACTTGAGGTTTCACATGATGATGGGTATGCTTCTTGAAACAGCGCTTCAGATCATATGGTGTACGAGCAATTTCTTCCCGCTGATTCATTTCAAAGGACAGTTTGGGATGTATTATTGGATGGCGATTGGATTCACTTACATATGTCTGCTTCTTGAATGCATTCGGTGCGCTCTCGCTGGAGTTTATGCTCAGATTCCTTTCATGACTGATGCTGCTTCCATTCACACTCTCTTCAACTTGGGAGGTTTTCAGAGACCACTCAGGTGAAAAGTGAAGAAACTGGTCCTCTTGGTGTTGCATACTTGAAATATGAACAAGTCTTAGTGTTTTTTTTTTCCAGAGGTGGTGGTTGTGACTTATCGAGTCTAAGTCTAAAGTGAAGTCTTTTAGCTTTAGTGTGAGTGTCTCATATGTAAAACAGAGTTCTCTAAACTTGATTCAGTGATTTTTAATACCAAACAATTCGGTCGTAGTGGTCAATGATTCCAAAGTATGTCAAAAGTCTCAAATTCTGATTAGTGAAAAACAGAAAATTTTACAATAATCAGTGAATTCTACAAAAGTTGATCAAAATACTTAAAACTAATAAAGCTCTATAATTTGATGTATTAACAGGCTCGATTTGTATAAATTTAAACAAAAACATTTCTTGTATATAAGAAAACAGACTCTG